AGAAGTTGTCGAATATCCTTAGGAGAGGGGTGCCGGATCAAGAAGGGGTCAAGAACAGATCAACAAGTGATCAAGAAAGGGGGGAAGCATGGAAGGAAGAGACAATTCTTGGGAAAGGAGGATCAGCAAACAGAAAAGGGAACTAGCAGAATGGAGAAGAAATATGCAAGAAATGCGGCAGGAAACAAGAGAACTCTTGCAAGTTCTTGGAGGAAGGGTGTGGAACCAGGAAAAGGGATTAGAAGGCAGTCCAGGGTCTGTAGATGAAGATCAACATTCTGTTAACGAGAATCAAAGAAGGGGAAGGGAATGCTCGGAGGAGGAAATGGATGAAGACTGAAGAGACGCCCAACCTAATTGGGGAAAAAGGGTAGAACTACCCACTTTTGAAGGGTTTGATCCGTTGGGGTGGGTCTCTAAGGCAGAGAAGTTCTTCGAGTTGCAAGGTGTGGCAGAGGAGGAAAAGGTGCACCTAGCTGACATCAGTATGGAGGGGAGCGCTGGCTACTGGTTCAGAGCCTGGAAGGAGAAAGAAAAGAATCGTTCTTGGGGAAGTCTGAAGGCAGTGGTGGTGCGATTTGGAGAACGGAACGAGGCTACTACCTTTGAAAGGGTGGCGGCCAGTAAGCAGTCGACAACCGCGGAAGAATACATCCCAGCATCGAACGAGAGAATTGCCAGAACCGAACGGGCTAGGACTACAGGAAGCGAACTTGAGAGTACTGCAGGAACCAAACGGCAAAGGACTGTTGGATCCGAACGTGAGAGGATGACCGGAACCGAACGTGAGGGAACTGCCGGAACGGAACGGTCGAGGACTGTTGGATCCGAATGTGAAAGTACGGCCGGAACCTAACGGGAGAGGACTGCTCGAGCCGAACGTAAGAGGACGGCTGATAACCGAACGACCTAGAACTACAGGATGCGAACCTGAGAGGACTGCAGGAATCGAACAGTAGAGGACTGCCAGAATCGAACAGTAGAGGACTGCCCGAGCCGAACGTGACAGGATGGCCGGAACCGAACGGGCTAGGACTACAGGCTGCGAAGTCGAGAGGACTGCAGGAACCGAACGGTCGAGGACTGCCAGAACCGAACGGGAGAGGACGTCAGGAAGCGAACGTGAGAGGACTGTCGGATCCGCACGGGAGAGGACTGCCAGACCCGAACGGAAGAGGACTGCCAGACCCGAACGGAAGAGGACGGCAAGAACCGAACGGAAGAGGACGGCAAGAACCGAACGGAAGAGGACGGCAAGAACCGAACGGAAGAGGACGGCAAGAACCGAACGGAAGAGGACGGCAAGAACCGAACGGAAGAGGACGGCAAGAACCGAACAGTCTAGGAGGGATGGATCAGTGGGAGAGAAGCGTGATGGAAGAAGGAATGAAGGCTTCGGAGGGAAGAGTGGATGGAAGAATCAATGCCCAGGAGAGAAGAATGGATTCTGTGAGGAGGTGGGCCAGCGAACAAAAAAGGGGGCTTGCAGTTTTTGATACAGCGGCAGAGGGGAGAGAGCGGCTTAAAGCAACGAAAGACATTGAAGACCATTCTCTCAGGGCCTGTGATTCTGGAAAAAAGGTGACCAGAATGCTGGAAGCTAATAGAATCCAGGAAGAAGGGAAGTTATTGGAGGAGGAATTGCGACCACCCAAGTCTCCAGACCTAAATTGGAGGACAGTAGCCAGTGGGTTCACTTCATATGATAACAAGATGATGCAGAGGAGCCAAGAGACCAAGCTTTTCGGTTCCAACCTTGAGGACAAGGTTGTTCTGCAGCGGGGTGTAATGTTAAGATCTAGATAGATTGGGTTGAGGACTGAGCGGTTAAGGGTGTGAGGGTGTCGGTTGTAAAGGGGGAGCGGGTCAGAGCTGCTATAAATAGAGCTCTTATAACTCTGTAGAGGGCATCGAGTATAGTTTGTAAAGTCAGGTCTTTAGCCTGTAGAGGGAGGTTATGCTCTCAACCAGGGAAGTTATGCTCCCAACCCATCCTTTGTAGAGCGACGATTCAACAGTGTAAATAAGAGAATTCTTTCTTTCATCTCTTTTATCTGCATCGAGTGAGTGTTATTGTTGGGTTCCAAACCCAGGTACCTAACACATCCCCAGTTCCCACATACCCTTACTCATGGCACACGATTATGCTACAAAAATGAAGGATGGGCTAAATTGAAGTGATGGACTGTGTATGTAAGAAAGGAGAAGCAAGAAGGGAATTGGAAAAAATGGAAAAAGGCCCACTGCAGAGAAAATTCCAGGGGGAGGAGTCATTGATTGTAAACAACAGACCAGCTGGTTCAGAAAACTGGTGGTATGAAATGGTTGTTTTGATTTCTTTTAATTTTTAATCCAACCTAAATATTTGCTTAGCTAAATAAGGTCTACTGCCAACATATAAAGGCCAAGTATGAATCGTTAGCTTTCCATTATAACTTTTTATCTTGCATGGCACACAATATGGTCATTTTAAGCTAATTCAAAATTACACCTAACTATAACTTTCTGGTTCTATGTTAGTTTATACTTGATATGCTATAATAGACATTAAATACGAACATTTCAACAACAAGTGGATGAACAAATGCCTTCAACCGTTTATGAGTAGTATGGTTTATAAACATAGATAAAGGGCAGGAATTTTGTAAGGAAACAGAAAATTGCCACATGTTGAGTGGTGATACCTGAACTGTGGGCCAAGAGGTAAAGAGGGTGAAGAAGAATTTAGGACAAAGGTAAGAATTGAGTGAGGTGGAAAAGTTCGGGTGGGCTGAAGCATTCTGTTCAGTTCAGCTGCACAATCTCCATAGTTATCTTCCTGCTTTCTTCTATGATATATTGCTATTATTATTATTATCAGAGGGTTACCCTGTTTGTAAGGTGCTTGGTCACCCTATTTTATCACATTCTCTCTCTTTTCTCAGCAAGGACCAATACTAGATTGAAATCCTCAGTAACGCATGCCCAATTTACAACAATTTAATTATCCTGACCCCATCAATTTAGCTGAGTCTACCAAATGCTTATTATCATGATAGTATCAGACATGTACCTTGGGAAGAACTCCCATCTCCATGGATACACAACTAGACACTGAAATCCATGAGTGCATCAAATATTCATGACTGAACGGAAGTAACTAATCAAGAAAATGAAGAATTATTGACTTACGGCCCATCGAATCTGGTGCAAAATCAACTAGAGAACCAAATGGATATCCTTCTCGTCGGTGGTGCATACGAGACATTACAGTGCACAAGTGAGCAAATCTTGCCTTGAATTACAGACCGAAAAGGCAACAGAAAATTAATAAAGGGGATCCGTGATTGTAACTGCGCAAAATTCAGTTCTACACAGCAGAATACACAAATATTCATTTAGCTTTTACCAGAAATAACACAAGCAGCTTACCTGCTCCATCAGGTTACGAACTGCTAAAGCAGGTCTAGGTAAACCGTGAGCCGATGTGGCACTCTGCACGCCACCAGAAATAGGAGTTCTGAAAAGTCCAGCCCTGGTGCCACCACCCGATGCACTTCCACCTCCTCCTGGGGTTGAAACAGTTGTCCATGACATGTTCATTTGTAGAGGCGCATCTTGATCGTCCTCAGAACTCTCAGTCTCAGAATGGCTCAAGTTTTCCTTCATAACAAAATAGAACCCAACAAAGTCAAAATTCAATGATAAGTTATCTGTTGATTATGACGCATAAGATAAAAAAAAAAAAGAAGCAATGACCAATTAACGACCCAATTGAGCATTACTATGGAGTGAAATAAAACAATAAGGAACTAAAAAAGAGGGAAATTCATCACATTCAATTCCTAACCAAATAAACATAGGCCAGCAGTATCATGATCTCATGAGAACAAGTTTATTCAAATTACTAGTAAAAACAAAAAACAATAACAAAACGCGGAATAGAACCGCGAATAGGGTTTTAGCAGGAGAGTCATTTGATAAGAATATTCCAATTTCAAAGCAGAGTTAAAGTACAGATTTTGATTTAAGTGGCGCGTGAGTTAATCAACAAATTAATAAATATGATAAAGAAGAAGAAAAAGTAGCATGGTCGAACCTGAGGCTGAGAAGCTAAAGCGAAATCATTGGTGGCTTCATCGCCACCAGTGTTTGAAACACGAAGAGGGAGAAGATGGGAGTGAGAGTTTTGGGTGATTTTGAAGAAAGAAAGTGGAAGGGTTCTCACAGCAGAGGAAGTAGAAGGAGTGCGAAGAAGGAGCGAAGAAGAATCGGAGATGATGGAGAGTGCTTCCATAGAAGACTTCGTTTCGGGTGGGTTTTGGTTTGGGAAGTACAGAAGTAGAACAAAAATTAGCGTGTACTATGATACAGAGGTTACAGAGGTTGATGTTGCTGTTGTTGCTGCTGACATATAATATAATATAATATAATATAATACTATAATATCGTTATTTATCTGTTGATTGGTTATTAATTTTGATTTGCTTGGATTAATTATCGGTTGATTAGTGATTCTGATCGGCTTGAGATTGAGATTGAGATTGTTTTGCCAACTGGAATACTACTTCAAATTCTGCGTGCCCAATCCAATACTATTTGATATTTTTAAATATATTTTTTATGATAGCAAACTCTTTTTAACATTTTCTAATATACTTTTTAACTAATTAAAAATTATAAAAATTTAAAACTTGTGAAAAAGCTTAATATTCACCACGTGTCTTCATAAATTTATTTATGTGTTATCTTATACATCTATCAGTTTTGTAAATATTATTAACTATTGTATTTTAATCAATTTTAAGCAGTTTGTTAATTACATTTTTTTATTTGTTTTAGATTAAATTACTTATCTGATTCTCTTAATTAAAAAAATAGTTTTTATGCTTAAAAACTATTTCTGTTAGGTCCGTAATTCATTTTTTTTTTATTTATTTTAATTCTCGCGAGTTTAGATCTCTATTTGAATAACTATACTGATAAGTCTGGTAGTAAACGGAATATTCAAATAAACCCCAAAATCAAGAACCAAAAAATTGGAAAAACCATCAAAGTTTAATCTAAATCAGTTTATTTAAAAAATATATAATTTATTAATTTAGTTTTTTTCTTAAAATAGTCAAAACTAACCCAAAATTTTTATGTTTTGTTTTTTATTTTGCAAATAAATTTATTATTAATAAATATTATTGAAATTGTAATATAAATATGATAATTTATTTTATTTTAAGATTTATACTATTTAAATTTTAAGAACCTATAAATTTAAATCTTATATTAATTTTTAACATCATAGAATTGTGATTTATATTTTTATAATAATGTTTTAATTCGGTTTTACCTTAATTTAACCATGATTAAACCATTGAACCTTGACTAGAATATAATATCATTTTATGTCTTGAAAATATCATTTAAACTAAAAGAATTTAAAATAGGAAAAATATAATAATGTTTTAATTATGTTTTACCTTAATTTAACCATGATTAAACCATTGAACCTTGACTAGAATATATTATTATTTTATGTTAAACTAAAAGAATTTAAAATAGGAAAAATATTATTTAAACTAAAAGAATTTAAAATAGAAAAAAGATATTTTGACATATATGATATTTTGACATAATATACATGTTATGTTTTCACTAATTATTATTTATTTACTAATGTATCGTTTATTTTAGACCTAATAAAAGTGTGTGAAAATATTATAAAAATATTATGTGTTACATTACCCTTTATAAACCGAGACATCTTCATCTTCTCTTTTCGTTAAGAGATATTATAATAAAGTATTTCTAGTTTACTAAATCTCCTTCCAACATAAGAAAAATTATAACTAGCTCCTTAAGGCTATGTTCAAGGGAATTCACTGTTTGCATTGATTTGCGAGCGAGGATTAAAGGTTCCATACGTGTTCATTTGCCTTGATTGTCGACGACGGAAAGCGATGGATTTGCAGAAATGCACGATTTGGATATCTTTGCACAAGTGAGATGATTTGCGCTAATTGTGACCACATTTACATATTTGCCCTGATACTTTTTTCAAATACCTTATACATAATAACATAAAATAATATAGGCATGTGTGTGGTGGTCTGCCAGTTGAAGACGAAGAAGGGTGGTGTGTTTTGAAGGGAAGCAAATGGCTGGGTGAAGATGAAGCATGCGGTTGAAGAGGAAGAACACAACTGTGTGTATTCGGTTACGGTTCAGAGTTGTGGATTTCGATGAACGAAGTGAAAATTGAGGGTGCTGTAATCGGTTATTGGTGGGTGTAACCGGTTACGCTGAGGCATGTGAAAAGGAAGGCATGGTATTCGGTTAAGCAGTCAGTAATCGATTACCATGAATGGCTGATTTCGTTTTCACCCACGAGATTCCATTTCAAAACTGTTGTTCTTCTTCTTGTTGAAAGAGCCGCATGAAGGAGAGGAAGGTGAAGGATGGTGGAGCGTGGCGGATGGGATGCAGCTTCTTCTTCTTCACAGACCCGCATGAAGTCTGGATGGTTGATGATTAGGTGATTTTCCATAAGTTTGTTTCATTAGTTGAGGATAAATTAAGTATAGGTTGGGTTTGTCATTTTTCTTATTTAATTTAATCCAAAATTTTGATAAAAACATTTAATTTAAATATAAATTTAACTTGATGTGAATTTTATCATTATAGATAAAGTTAAATGGAAGGAAAAAATAATAATATAAACTTAAATTTCGCTATATATTTAAAAATAAATATTTAAAAATTAACAAACTTACTGTAAATATAATTTCATGTAATGCAAAATATTCTCTATTAATTAAAAATGGTTTTATAACTAATATAAAATTATAAGAACATGTGCTTTTATACTGTAAATACATCTATAAAATAATTTATAAGTGATAATTATATTTAAGTTATGTTAATTTTTTAATGACATGATTAATTTAATACGTGTGTTTCACACTATATATCTATATATATATAGATATATATAGATCTATATATATATATAGATTTATATATATATATAGATCTATATATATATATA